ACATCCTAGAATGGTTACCAGTGGTGGGAAGGAATAGAGAATTATTCACTGACTAGACGGTTGTTGTTGTTGTTGTTAAGTACCGCCAAGTCAGTTCCGACTCATAGCGACCCTGTATAGGGTTTCCAAGGAGCAACTGGTGAGCGTGAACTGCCGACCTTGCAGTTCAAACAGCTTTGCAGTCTGGCGCATTAACCCACAGCACCAGACCATTCACTTGGGTGGCAGGAGAAAGATGAAGGTAGGGTAGTAAAAAAGGAGTTCAAGATTTTAAATGAATAGAAGTAAATGCTATTAACTGATGGTACAGAGACCTAGAACATTCCAATTGCTAATCGTCACTCACTGCACTACCAGGGGGCCTTCATTTTGCCCACAGAATGCTTAAATATTGCAACTTGAATTTTTTTCAGTTCTTTCTTCTTGAGAAATGCTGAACGTGTTCCTCCCATTTGGTTTTCTAACTCTAGGTCTATGTACGTTTCATTATAATTCTTTACTTGGTCTTTTCAAGCTGCCCTTTGAAATCTGTTCAGTTCTTACTTCATCACTTCTTCCATCTGCTTTAGCTACTCTCTGCTGAAGAGCAAGTATCGAAGTCTCTTATGACATCCATGTTGGGTTTTTTCTGTCTTTTGTCTTCATGTATTATGTCCTTGATGTCATTCCATAACTTGTCTGGTTTTCAGTCATTAGTGTTCAATGCTTTAAATCTACTCTTTAGATGGGCTCCAAATTCAGGTGGGATATTATACTCAAGGTAAGGAGCTCTGGTAGCATAGTGATTACGAATCAGGCTGCAAACCGCAAAGTCAGCAGTTCGAAACTACCAGCTGTTCCATGGGAAAAAGATGGGGCTTTCTGCTCCCGTAAAGATTTACAGCCTCGGAAACCCTGCACAGGGTCACTATGAGTCAGTTCCGACTCCACGGCACATAACAACAACAACAACATACTCAAGGTAGTACTTTAACTCTCGAGGACTTGTTTTTATTTTCTTCAGGTGTGCAAGTGATGGTCTGTTATGTTGCCTCCTCAAAGTAGAGCCAACCTTAACGATGTGGGTGGAGTAAAACTTTCAGGGCCTTCATTTGCTGATGTTGCAGGGATCAAAATGAGAAGAAACAGCTGTAAACCTCTATTAATAATCAGAAAGTAAAATGTACAAAATACATGAATCAAAGAATATTGGACGTTGTCAAAAATGAAGTTGTTGTTGTTGTTGTTAAGTCCGTCGAGTTGATTCCAACCCATAGCAACCCTGTATAGGGATTCCAAGGAGCAGGTGGTGATCTTGAACCACCGACCTTGCAGTTCAAATGACTGTAGTCTGATGCATTAGCCCACAGAGCCACACCAGGAGTCCAAAAATGAAGTACAAGGTATAAAAATCTATAACTTCGGCATTACTGAGCTGAAATGGACTGGTACTGGCCATTTTGAGTCAGATAATCATATGATTTACTATGTCGGGAAGGACAAGTTGAAGAGGAATAAGGTTGCATTCATAGTCAGAAAGAGCGTCTCAGGATCTATCCTGAAGTACAACACTGTCAGTGATAGGATAATATCATACATCCATAAGGAAGACTACTTAATACAACTACTTATCAAACTGATGTACCAGAACACTAAACCACATGCCAAAGATGAAGAAATCGAAGACTGTCACCAACTCTGTAGTATGAAACTGATCAAACACGCAATCAAGATGCATTGATAATTACTGGTGATTGGAATGCAAAAGTTGGACACAAAGAGGAAGGATTGGTAGTTGGAAAATATGACCTTGGTGACAGAAATGATGCTGGAAATCACACGATAGATTTTTGCAAAACTGATTCACTGGAATTTCCTTTTTGCAACAACATAAATGGCTACTATACAAATAAGGAGCTCTGATAACATAGTGGTTACGAGTTGGGCTTCTAAACTCACAGACACCTTTTCAAAATTACCAGCGGTTCCACAGGAGAAAGATGAGGCTTTCTGCTCCCGTAAAGGTTTACAGCCTCAGAAACCCCCGACTGCGGCACGGAACCACCACCACCACCATACATGTGACAGAAATTGTAAATGTAGAAATATGAATTGTGTACATTTTTTTTTTTAAGTTTTATTGTGAATTGTGTGATAATTTACATGGAAGAACATTAGTTTTACACTCATCCATTGTATATCGTTTCATTGTCATGGTTACAATCCCCTCCATGCATCATCAACCAACCACCAACCAAAGGGCATATCCTACAATCCTGCCCCCCGCCCCCACTTCCCCCATCACCAATACACAGTCCCTCTCCCTCTCTGGATCTAAAGTCCCCAGCTGCTCCATCTGTCCATGTCATCGTCTCTGCCTCCATCTCAGGCATCACTGCTCCAGGGACCTCCGCTCCTAGACTGCAAAGTCAATCACTCCCCTCCTTTTGCTACAAAACATCTACCTTTACATTTCCAACCCTCACAGTCAGTCCTGATAACAATTATTCGCTATTGTACCACAAGAGACCTATCCGCATTTCCTTTCAGCAGCCCCGCCTAGACAGGGCTGTGTATATTCTTAACATCAACAATTTAAAAATGTTTTTTTCCTATTTCTATTTTGCACAGAAGGAGTTGTCGTCACTCAGAATCAACTCAACAGTAAGCATCATCATCATCTGTGCTTCTTAGGAATCTAGCTGTTGTAGGTAGTTAACATGCTCAGCTGCTAGCTGAAAGGTGGGAGGTTTGCGTCCATCCAGAGCTGTCTCGTAAGAAAAGCCCGGCAATCTGTTTCTTTAAAAAATCATCCCGTGACAACCCAGGAATGAAATGCTGAGGATGCAACACTAACCTGACTGAGCCCAGCCTGCGCAGGGAACAACTAGAAGGAGACAGGGGACCCCTGAGCCTGGCCTCTATAGGCTGCCTACCCCTGATCTCTGCCCACCGCTGAACTGACACCTAGTATCCCAGTGTGACTGACACCCACAGTGTTTTCTGGGAGCAAACTCCAGTGGGTAGGAAGAACAGAGTCCCCACCTCTGCCCAGCTGAGCAGGACCCCTGCCAATACAACCTTGGGCACCTGGAGCCTCTCTCTGCTACACTCCCTCGATCCAGTAAACATTGACTCTGTGCCCAGGACAGGTTCCGGGTGGGGGATGAGGGAGCCACTGCAACCAACAGGACAAGATGTTCCTGGTGGCCTCGTGGGGGATGGGGGGGGTGTGGCGGGGAGGATGAGCTGAGCTGTCCTCCTCCCATGGAACCTTCTGGGCCAGTGAGCTCCACTTTGGGTTACCTCCTCTCCAGTTTCCCCTGTTGGAAACTTCAACCCAGGGCACTGACTGGAGAGCAGAGACAGAGGAGGGTGAGGAGCAGTTGCCTCCAGATTCACTCAGAAAATGGAGAAAAGAATGAAGAGTTCTGGACGGGCAGGATGAGATCCAACCTCAGAATCAAAAGCTTGGATCTTTGGTCTTCCCGGCTCTGTGACCTGGAGGACATGCATTCACCTCTCTGGGCTTCAATTTTTTTCCATCTATCTGGTGGGGTTATTCATCTCTGCCCCGTGGACAGAGAGCAGACAGTGGGCTATGGAGGTAGAATAAGCCAGCTCTCATGCCAACTGTCCTGGGAAAGGCCTTTCACTGCCCTATGAGCTCCCACCCCCACCCGCGGACCTGCCAGGCTGTCCGGGCTCAGCTGAACCTGGCTAGTTCTGGGAGGGCTTCCTGGAGGAGGGGACACAGGGCTGGGTTTAGGGAGGAAGGCAGAGGAGAGGGTTCACCCTGGTATAAGCTTCTATCTGCTCCCTGGTAGGAAGGAACTAGTCTTTGGCACCTTCTTGCTCTTTGTCAGTTTTTGTCATCTGAATGGGGGTGATCCTTGGGGTGGCTGCTAGCCCATAAGGAGAAGGGGGTGGCTGATGTAGGGCATTTTGTAAAGCAAAATGTACAAAATACAAGAGGGCAAGGGGTCAAAGCACAGTGAAAAACTAGGTCTAGAACGGAGGATTCCAGGCAGTGAGGAGAGTTAGTAAAGTTAATTCCCTGGGAAGAGGGGGAGATGGCTCAACAAAGGATGAATTTAGGGACTGGGGTTGAGCCAGAGATAGGCAGATGTCCAGGAGCCATCAGGTAAATGCCACCAACAGCTTCCCCCGGCCTCCCTAAACAGTAACCTCTCTCCCAGTACTCAGGTGGTGGCATCGTCCCCAAAGAAATATAATCATAACTAACATGAACAGAGACCTATGTGTCAGGCCTGATGCCCAGGACTCATGCTTTTATGACATATTATTCCCCATGGCACCTATTCTTGCTCCTATTTTACAGATGAGAAAACTGAGGCTCAGAGGGGTTCTGGGACTTTCCTCATATCGTACGTAGCAGATCCATGATTCCAGCTCCTATACTTGTGCCTTTAATCACAATGATCTGTACCTCTTCCATCCTAAAGCTAAGCCACACACCTTACAACAGGACTTCAAGCCCCATCCCCTGCCCCCACCTCTTCAAGCTCCTCCTCAGTAAGAATTCTAGGGCCACCTCTATACTCAGGCCTTGGCTTCTGAGCATGGACTCTGAGGACAGAGATCAGAGTCCCTGCCTGGGGTCCCAAAGAGAATCTGCCCTTGGCTTCAAGCCCTGACTCTGCCCGCTTCTTGCTAGTGGCCTGTACAAGGCACTCCTCCTCTTGGGGCCTGGTAGCACCCCTGTCTCTCAAAGCTGGATCACAACCTCCAGCTAAGAACCTTTCAGGGGTGGGACCAGCTCCCCTCCACCGGGAAGGCCCTGAGGCGGGGCTGGGGTGGGGGGGGCGGGACCTGCTAGACTTAAATACTTCTGTCCAGCACTTCCCAGTTCTCTCGTCTGTGTCCCCATCTTCCTTACAAGTAGGAAACCCATCAACGTCCACCATGGTAAGTACCTGTCTGCCTCTAGTGCTGTTTCTGCAGTGAGCCAGAGAGCAACACCCCAAGTTTCACTGTGATTTCCTTTCTCCTCAGACGACGTACAGTGACAAAGGTGTGAAGGTGAGTAGCGAGGGGCACATGGGGACTGGGGCTGGACAGGGCCTGGGCCACGAGACCAGCGGGACAGCAATCAGCAGAGAAAACTGACTGTACCATGCCATGTGAAGTTCATGCACGATCACTCAACTGTGTCCCATGGCTACAAGATGGACTCCACCTTGCCCTCCTAAGAAACCTTGACCTTTTCTTAAACCCCTGTCCACCTCTTAATCCAGTCCGGAAGTTCTTTCTCAGGTTAACTTAAATCTCTTGCTTCAGTTTAAAGCAGTTTCCCTCTAAGGAATGTGGGCAGGCCTCTTGCAGGAGCTTCCTAACCCTGAGCCCCCAGGAGCTCTCCTCAATCCTGGGGTTTGGGTTGAGGCAGGGGAGGTGGTTGGGGGCTCCCCTCCCCACATTTGCACTTTTCTAAGATCATATCCAAGTCTCCAAGCCTGCCCCTGGAGTTCTGGTGTGGCGCTGTGGGTTAAAGCGCTGGATTGCAAGGTCGATTTGAACCGCAAGGTTGGCGGTTCAAGCTCACCAGCCGCTGCTCAGAAACCCTATACAGGGTCGCTATGAGTTGGAACTGACTCTGTGGCACTCAACAACAACAACAACAACAAGCCTGACCCTCTCTCCCTCCGCAGCCCGAGAGAGGTCGATTCTTGCATTTTCACTCGGTGACCTTCTGGGTGGGCAATGCCAAACAGGTAGGAAGGCTGGGGGGGCTCAGGTGGGCAGAGGGCAGGCAACAAGGTCTCCTGGACCAGGCAGGCCTCTGCCCAGGGCTGGTATTGGCCCCCGGAAGGGGAGGGTCAGGGCCAGCCCTGGGAGTATTCCAGGATGGGGGAGACAGGCTCTGTGACCTAATTACACAATCAGGACCATGGACCCCAGCTTAGATGAGGCTAAAAGGAGCCAGGGGGACAGCCTTTCCACCTGGGATGGTGTCTGGGCCTGGGGCGAGATGAGCTGAGAAGGCTAGAGCTCTCAGCCAGATCCCCCCAGGTCAGCCCCCCTGACCCTCATGAACCCAACCACAACACTCTGATTCAGGCTGCATCATTCTACTGCAACAAGATGGGCTTTGAACCACTAGCCTACAAAGGCCTGGAGACAGGCTCCCGGGAGGTGGTCAGCCACGTGATCAAGCATGGGAAGGTGAGTCCAACTCCAGGGCGCCTCAGCCTCTTTCCTGTGGGGCAGTGTATGCGTGGGAGTCAGCCCAGGGTGCCCTTGCTACAGTCCTGTTCCAGGAAGCAGAGTTTGGCCAGAGGAGCTAGCTAGTCAGTTCCACCCCCTCCAGGGCCTGGCCATGCTGGCCCCACACATGTTCAGGAAGACATGACCAAGGCCTAGGACATGAGGTTTAGGGTGGACGTCAGGGCCCAGGGAGTGTCTGGCAGAGGCGAAAGTCCCCATCCCAGACCAGCGGGGGATCTACAGTAGAGACCCATAATCAAGAGGTCCTGTCTGGTTGGGGAGGGGTAATAGGGCCATTTTGCCACCAGTAGGGGTATCTCAAGACTTCCTGGTTGTGCAGTGGTTAAGTGCTCAGCTGCTAACTGAAAAGTCAGCAGTTGGAACCCACCAGCTGCTCCTTAGGAGAAAGAAGTGGCAGCCATCTTCCATAAAGAGGGCAGTCTCAGAAACCCTACCAGACAGTTCTACCCTGTCCTAAATAAAGGGTTTCCATGAATGGGAATCAAATCGATGGCACGGGGCTTCAAGGGTGGACTGGAGTCCTGGTGTGGCACCGTAAGATAAGCACTGGACTGCTAATCTCAAGGTCGATAATTCAAAACCACCAGCTGCTTCTCGGAAACACTATACAGGGTCACTAAGAGTTGAAATCAACTTGATGGCACTTAACATCAGGGGTGGGCAGGGAGGAGGAGACATGGGGGCAGTTCCCCAGACTCAGACTCAGTTGAATGACCAGCTACCTGCCTTCTCCTCTATGTCTCAGATTGTGTTTGTCCTCACCTCAGCCCTGAACCCCTGGAACAAAGGTGAGGGGGCCCAAGGAGTGTGGATATGGTGTTTCGGGTGGGGCCAGGGACCCAGGGAACGGAGCTGGGGTGGCCAAGCCTGGAGGGAGAGTATATGTGAGGGGGGCAGGGACTCCAGTGCCCCCCACTCTTTCCGGCCACAGAGATGGGTGATCACCTGGTAAAACATGGAGATGGTGTGAAGGACATCGCGTTTGAGGTGGAAGACTGTGACTACATCGTGCAGGTGAGGCCCTGGCACCACCCTGCAGGACAAACAGTAAGGCTGGGCCTGCCTTTGGCCGGCCTCGGGGACCCGGACTGGAGGGTCAACTGAGAGCCCATCGTGTCCAAGTGAGGAACTCACAGGCCTGAGTCCCAGCGATGCCTTGCCCCTTACTAACAGTGGGTCTTCCTCTGAACCTCAGTGTCTGCACCTGTGAAACGTCATAACCACAGCACCAGCCCCGCCGAGCTCTCATTAGGAGGGAAATAGATCTTATGAATCTGTTCTTGAGCACAGCACTGCTCAAGAGCAGTTCAGAGTGCAGATTCCAGAGCCAGAATATCAGGGTATGAATCTCATTTGCTGTGTGACTTTGGGCAAGCAACTTAACTTCTCTGAGCCTAAATCTCATCTATAAAATGGAGATGACAACGATGTTGGTGGGAGAATGAAAAAATGAAAACTGTTAACACTAGAACAATGCAGGTCTGACAAGGAATAAGTACTGTTTTGCTGAGTACAAACATGTAAGACCTTGGAGATACTGTAGGTTCGATTCCAGACCACCACAATAAAGGGAATATTGCAATAAAGTAAGTCACAGGACTTTTTTGGTTTCCCAGAACATAGAAAAGTTATCTTGCCACTAGACTCTAGTCTAAAGTGTGTAATTTGTCATTGTTAAGTACTGTTGAGTTGGTTCTACCTCACAGCAACCCTGTATAGGGTTTCCAAGGAATGGCTGGTGGGTTTGAACCACCGACCTTGTGGTTCGTAGTCCAGTGCTTTTCCTACAGCATCACACCAGGAGTCTATAGCATTCTGAAAAAATTTGAAATATTGTGACCTTGACCAAAATGGGTCACAGAGACAAGACATGAGCTCACACTGTTGGAAAAGTATATTGAGAGACTTGTGGGGGGCTGCCTGGGCTGAAAGAATAGGAGAGTCCTGCATGCAATGGGATATCAAGTAGGGTCCAGCCCTCACTGACACTCCCACCCCATCTCCTCTGTAGAAAGCCCGGGAACGGGGTGCCAAGATCGTGCGCGAGCCCTGGGTGGAACAGGACAAGTATGGGAAGGTGAAGTTTGCTATGTTGCAGACGGTGAGTAGGCTTGGGGATGCGGGGGACACTGCTCCTGCTGTCAGCTCCCTCCCAACCCATCTAACTGCTTCCCATCATCTCAGCCTGCTGCCCCAAAGCATAGACCTTTCCCACTAGTCTCCCTCCTGTAATGCTTGACTTCACACCCACAATGAAGGGAACCACCAATCCTCGTCTTCCTCCCAGTGGGAAGTCATGGGCTATGGGGCCAACAGGGTGTAGAAGAAAGGACATGGGAACAGACAGGGTCTAGGGAAGCTATCCGCCTCACTAGTTGTGTGCTTTGGGCAAACAACATCACATCTTAGAGACTGTTTAAATGAGCAAGGATGAGCGTCTACATCTTCCTAGTCTGTTCCCTCATTGGTAATCCCTGAAGGAGACACTGTGAGGATCAAATGAGTGAATCTGTGTAGTACTGCATCTAGAACAACAGTGCCTAACATATCCTAGACATTACGCAAATATTGTTGATTCTTTTCAGCACCTGGATTATTGTGCAACAGAGACAATTATAGGCCCTGAAGATTGAGGCCAATTGAAAATCTGTCTCGTGCTTGCATGTTCACAGTCCACTCAGTGTATGTATTTTTACTGAGCACGTGCTATGTGCCAGGTTCTGTGGAAGGTGCTGAAGACAGGGAGCAAAACTGCATCCCTGCCCTCATGAGTATCTGGTCTCAGGGTGAGGGAGAGACTAAGAACCCCAAACCAGTGAGAAATCACAATCCTTCCAGAAAAGGAGAGTGAATTGCCCAAAGTCACTCACGGAGCTAGAGTGAAAGCTCATTAGAACCTAGGACTTTGCAGGCTCCTGGGAGATGGGGCCTGGTCCCAGTGGGGATGGCCGCTCAGGCCCAAGCCGAGCTCTGTCTCCCACCCACAGTATGGGGATACCACACACACATTGGTGGAGAAGATCAACTACACGGGCCGCTTCCTGCCTGGCTTCGAGGCCCCAATATTTATGGACCCCTTACTATCTAAGCTGTGAGTACTTCTTGATGCAGCAGTGGGGGCATGGGCCCTGAGATGGGGTGGAAAGCAACGTCCCCTGTCCCCGAAGTGATGATGGGCAGAGTGTCTGGGAGTCCGTCAGTCAGGGACCTGTAGGAGTTGTCAGAGTTAAGAGAATTGACTCTTGAACCACACTGCCAGGGTTCAAATCCAAACACTGTCTCTTCACAGCCTTTTCTCCTCAGAAAGTCACTCTCTGCCTCAGTTTCATCATCTGTGAAACAAGGATGCCATAGTGCAGGTTTAGTTCCAGACTACTGCAATAATATCTGGTAGCGTAGTGGTTACGAATCGGGCTGCGAACCTTAAGGTCAGCGGTTCGAAACTACCAGCTGCTCCGCGGGAGAAAGATGAGGCTTTCTACTCCCGTAAAGATTTACACCCTCGGAAACCCTATACAGGGTCGCTATGGGTCGGAACCGACTCGATGGCACATAACAACAACAACAACTGCAATAAAGACAATTATCACAACAAAGTGAGTCACACAATTTGGGGGGGTTCCCAGTGCATGGAAAAGTTATGTTGACACTACACTGAAGTCTATCATATGTACAGTAAACTCACCACATTGTCATGAGCCGATTCCAACTCACAAAGACCCTGTCGGACAGAGGAACGACCCCACAGGGTTCCCCAAACAGTCAGTCTTCACAGCATGCTGAAAAAGTTCAAGGTATTGTGAGAATGGTCAAAATGTGACAGAGACCCGAAATGGGCACCTGCTGTTGGAAAGATGGCACCAACAGACTTGCTCCCACAAACCTTCAGTTTGTAAAACACAGTATCTGCAAAACGCAGTAGAACAAAGTCTAATAAAACGAGGTATGCCTGTACATCCCTGCTAGGGTCATGGTGAGGTCTCAATGGGCCTCACAAAGTTCCTGGAATAATTCTATTATTCTGTAATCCCATTTTTCCACAAACTTTTTTTTTTTAATTTAAGGTTTTTATTGTGGATTGAATGAAAGTTTACAGGGCACATCATCAGTTTCACATTCAATCATTCATATAACCTGTTTCATTACATTGATTATAATCCCCTCCATATACCATCAGTTAACAGTGTTTCTCTCTATCCTCTTTAGCTTTTTTTTTTTTTTTTTGGGTGGGGGGGACTTTGCCTTTTTGGAGTTTACAGTCTCGGCTTCTAGGTAAGGTTTTTACATTTATCTGTGGATATCCAGGGCTCATGTATGAGATTACTAGCAAGCATACTGAATAATCAGATGAGGGCCAGTTTGCTATGTCTTCCACGAACTTTTTGAAGCCCCCTCATAAAGTAAGTTCTATGTAAGTGTGAGCTAGAATTATTCTTGGGGTGCCACTAGAAAGAGGGAGGCCTAGGAGACAAACTTCTCCTCACACCCCAACTCATTCTTTGCCCTCCAGGCCCAAGTGCAACCTCGAGATGATCGATCACATTGTGGGGAACCAGCCTGACCAGGAGATGGTATCTGCTTCTGATTGGTGAGCCTGCAGGGGACGGGGCCACAGCTCAGTTCAAGGCTAGGGAGACAAAATGGGAAACAGGAGACAAGGTGGTGGGGGGCTAGGCTGAGGGCACTAGTGAATCCATTCTTTCCCGGACTGTCCCTGTGGGACCAGAGGATGCTAGATCCAAAGCCATACTTGGGTTTTCCTCGGAGGAACCTGGGGACTAAAGGTAGGAAAGCTTGGAGGGTGACAGTCAGCCCCCACAATGAGCACCCCCTTTGTCATGGTGCTCTTCTCTCTGTTGGAGAACTGCTAAAATGCTTCACGTATTTTACTGACTCCCAGCTGAAGGACAAAGGATTAAATCCACAGTGTCCATGCTGGGATAGCTTTTCCTGTTTGGAAACAGGAGGGATTGTGGGAGGTGGCTACTAGGGCAGAGAGGCAGACCTCAGCTGGTGCTCAGAGCAGGTGTGTCCTTGTGGCCCCCGCAGGTACCTGAAGAATCTCCAGTTCCACCGCTTCTGGTCCGTGGATGACACACAGGTGCACACGGAGTACAGCTCTCTCCGCTCCATCGTGGTGGCCAATTACGAGGAGTCCATTAAGATGCCCATCAACGAGCCAGCACCGGGCAAGAAGAAATCCCAGATCCAGGTGGACCTGCCTAGGGGACGAGAGAGCAGGGCAGAGGCTGGGGGCTTCCTGCAGGGGCAGGGGTGAATGACAGTGACTCTTTCCCACCCCCAGGAATATGTGGACTATAACGGGGGCGCTGGTGTCCAGCACATCGCTCTTAAGACTCAAGACATCATCACAGCGGTAAGCGCCTCACTTCTGATCCTAATCCCCATCTTGTGCAGCCTCCAGAATTGGAGGGAGGAACTGAACTGCTTGATAGATCACAGCAGGCCTGGAAGGTCCAACCCCTCTGTAGCACAAGCCCAACCTTAGAGGTAGCAGGGGAGAGAGAGTTAGGAAGCCTGGTGTTTAGTTTTCATTCTGCCTGGGACCAGCTAATTGTCCCTGGGGGATTCAGTTCACTCTCTGCGTTTCAATTGACTCCCCTTAAAGATGAGGCTTCTTAAGCTTCAGCAACATCCGTGTATGGCTGGAATATAATGAGCAAGAGAGACAAGGGAAGGAGATGGGGTCAGGAGTGGGACAGATGGTGAAGGCTCTGGTAAGGACTTGGAATTTTATTCTATGACAGGACACCCTGAGTTGACATTGATTTAACTAAGGTCACTGTGGCTATTAGGTTCAGAATAGACACTTGCATGTCCAATGCCTGTTTTCCCAGGTATAATATGGGGATATAGTCCTACTGTGTGGCACTGTAAGTTAATGTGCTGGACTGTAAGGTCAATGGTTCAAACTCACCAACCGCTCCTTGGAAACCCTATACAGGGTCACTATGAGTCAGAACCAACTCGATGGCGCTTAACAGCAACAATAGTCTATCCTATAATACAGGGATGGGAACACAGTGGCTTTGTAGGATAAACACTGGGCTGCCAATCTCAAGGCTGGCTGTTTGAGCTCACGTCACTCCATGGGAGAAACATGAGACTTTGTGCTCCTGCAAAGATTTACAGCCTTGGAAACACTATGCTGTTGTTGAGTTGGGTCCAACTCCTGGCGACCCTTTATAGGGTTTTCAAGGAGTGGCTGGTGAGTTTGAATCACCAACCTTGCAGTTCAAACTTACTGTGGTTTAGGCCTTCCATGAGTCGGAAGTAACGCAATGGCACTTTATTGTTGTTAAATGCCAACGAGTCAGTTCTGACTCATAGTGACCCCTATAGAATGTCCAAGGAGCAACTGGTGGGTTTAAATCGTTGACCTTTTAGTTAGCAGTCCAGTGCTTATCCTACAGCACCATACCAGGACTCCAAGAACATGATATGGAGATAATAACAGTGGAACAGATTTCCACATGAGCATAATAAAGTTATACATAGAAAGTGGCTGAGACACATAGTGAGTATTCCTTAAAAGCAATTACTGTTCTTCCTAGCGGATTCTTGAAGCCAAGGTAAGAAAGGAGATGAAGCCGGGCACTCTGGCAACTTTTGGGAGCTTGGGGTAGCAACTGGTCCCTGCCTCCTGGGCCAGCCCCAGGGCCAGTGGTGATGAGCAGACAGGTTGATGTCAACCCTGCTCCAAAACAGATTCGCCACTTGAAGGAGAGAGGAATGGAGTTCTTGGCTGTTCCATCCACATACTACAAACAACTGCGGGAGAAGCTCAAGTCAGCCAAGATCCGCGTGAAGGAGAGCATCGACGTTCTGGAGGTGAGCCCACGGTGACAGCCTGCTGGGGACAGTGAGCTCTGCACGCCACCTGACCTCACAAATACTGAGGAGGCCCCAACCCTGGGAGTTGCATTCCAGGAAGTGGGGGTGGGGGTAAGAGACAAGTGAATACAGGTAGCCCTTGACTTATGACAGGGTTTTGACATAAGTTGAGTAACTTTTTTTTTAAGTTTTCACTATTATTGTCTCTTATTACCAGTATTTTTATAAGTCTGATCTTTATTTGGGGGGGGGGGATGTTGGAAACATTTACATATAAACTTAAAGATCTATTTTACACAAACCACAAAAAAAAAAAAAAAATAAAAAGGACTGTCGTAAGTGTGATTCCTCATAGCTCACATTAGTATCTTGTAAGTATGGAACTATGGGTAAATTGCAGAAAGCATCAGCATGTAGAAAGTTAAAATAAGCTATATAGTGAGGAGTGCACTAGGGTAAGAAGCCTCTCTAAGGAGGCCACATTTAGGTGAAATCTAGATGATGAGAGAGAGCTGGCTGTATACGGAAAGGCTGGGGGAAGGGTGTTCATGGCACAGGGAACAGCCAATGGTAAGGCCCTGAGGCAAGAAGCAGCTCCCTATGTCCGGAAAGAATGTTTGAGGACTCACCTCAGTCAGAGGTTGCAGGGACCATTGTCTCTGGGAGGCTATTTAGCAGTTGGGATTTTGTTTTTCTGTGGCCAAAAACCACAGGATGAGGTTTGGGGCTTTGTTTTTAACATCTTTCGTGAGCTACAATTCACACATGAGACACTGACCTTTATTTTAAACTTTTTCTTGTGAATTGAGTGAGGGTTTACAGAGTAGATCATCAGTTTTACATTCAACAAATTATACACTTTGTTTCATCTCCATGTAACAACATGTATCCCAATTCTTCTGTGTTTGTTTCCATTCTTCACCCTTTTGAATTTGGCCCTTAAGTAAATGCTGCCATTTGAATCTAGTACAATTGACCATTCCATGGTATGCGTACCTTACTAGTGTAGTTCAGACAACTGACTCTTTGTTTTTTAGTTGTTCTTGTGATCTGAGTGAAGGTTTAAAGAACAGATCATCACTTACAACGAACTCTTTTAAATCTATTAATGCATCTTAGTACATAAAGTTGTATAATCCTCACCACAATCTATTTCAGAACTTTTTCATCACTCCAAAAAGAAATGCCATTATCTCCACCCTCCCCTTGCCCCAACTCCATGGTACCCTTCCAGCCTCATGCAACCAGTAATCTATCTTCTGTTGCTATAGATTTGCACTTTCAGAAGTGCAAATGGAGTCATTCAGCGTATGGTCTTTTGTGTCTGGCTTCTTTCACTGAGCATGTTTTCACAGTTCATCCATGTTGAGCATGTGGCAGGATTGCATTCTTATTTCAGGCCAAATAATATTCCATTGTATGGAAGTAGTACATTTTGATGATCCATTCACCAGTAGATGGTAGGTGGACATCCGGGTTGTTTCCACTTTGGGGCTATGATGAATGCTACTATTGTGAACATTTGTGTATAAGTTTTTCTGTGGCATATGTTTTCATTTATCTTGGGTCTATATCTAAGAGTGGCTACGAATCCAGCTGTGAACCTTTAAGGTCAGCGGTTCAAAATTACCAGCCGCTCTGTGGGAGAGGGATTAAGCTTTCTGCTCCCGTGAAGAGTTACAGCCTCTGAAACCCTATATAGGGTCACTATGAGTCAGAACCAACTCCATGGCACATAACCACCACCACTACCACGCTAACTCTTTGTTTAACCATTTGAAGAACCAGAGTGTTTTCCAAAGCAACATTTTACATTCCCACCATCAACAAACGGGAGTTCTGATTTCCACTGGAAGGCTTTAAGCATGGAGTGAGACAAGATTGATATTTGAAAATCCCTCTGATTTCCATGGTTAGGATGGATTGGAAAGAGGCAAGGGCAGAAGAAGCAGGGAGCCCTAAGAGGAGGTTCTGAGGTGGTCTAGGGATAATGTTGGCTTACTTAAGGATTATGGAAACAGGTTAGTATCGGGACTATTTGGGGCTATATCTGGAGGTGGCTAGAAGTGCTGGAGAAAGGAGGGTCTTTCTTTGCCTTTGGGTGGGATACCAGAAGGAGAACAAATAATAAACACATTGACTGCTAACCAAAAGGTGAGAGGCTTGAGTCTACCTAGAGGCACCTAGGAAGAAAAGACCTGGAGATCTATTTCGAAAAATTCAGCTGCTGAAAATCCTAGAGAGCACAAGTCTATGCTGATACACACATGTTGTTATTGTTAAGTGTCATCGAGTTGGTTCCAACTCACAGCAACCCTGTATAGGGTATCCAAGGAGCAGCTAGTGAGTTTGAACCATCGACCTTGTAGTTCAAGGCGGCCTCGCTCTTTAGTGCATTAACCCACAGGATTCACCATAAATCAGAGACAACATAGTGGCAACTGGTTTGGAGGGAGGGGATATAGGCGTCCCTTTGAACTTTCTAATGACCTCATCATGACAAGGAGAGGGCAGGCCATCCTCCCCTCAGCCCCTGCTGGTCTCCCGCCTAGGAGCTGAAAATCCTGGTGGACTACGATGAGAAGGGCTACCTGCTGCAGATCTTCACCAAGCCCGTGCAGGACCGGCCCACGCTCTTCCTGGAAGTTATCCAGCGCAACAACCATCAGGTACAGCCTGTCCCTAAGGAGCCCAAGGGGGCATGCAGGGGACAAGTTCAACTCTTTAAGCTCACCTCCACTCTCCCGTTCCAGGGTTTCGGGGCCGGCAACTTCAACTCACTGTTCAAGGCCTTTGAGGAGGAGCAGAACCTAAGGGGAAATCTCACTGACCTGGACACTAACGGGTTGGCTCCGGGCATGTAGGCCACAATGTCCTGACTGACCCGCCTTGCTACACAGCTTCCGGTGATAAGCCACACCTGTCAACGTGCCCCGAACGCTAGGCTCCACCCACCAGTGAATGCCAACACCCCAGGACTCCGCCCACCTTGTGACCAAATCCTCTGGGCTGCACAGCATTCTCTCCTTCGAATAAAGCCTGTCTGGTGTTGTGTATCCCTGTCCTAAAGCGGTCACTTTGAGTCGAATGAACGGAACCCGGTTTGGTATTTGTGCCCTTTCGTCGCCAGGGGGAGCGCTGCAGGAAGGCTGTGGAATGAGAGCGCTTTGCCAAGGCGGACGGACCGCGCAAAAGGGAATTTTGAAATCCGTAGGGTCAGGGGCTCACACTCTAGAAGGAAAGACAAAATATAGTTTGGTGTAGTAAAAATTACTATTAATAAAATAAATCAAGGTGAAGTGATGATTATGTGGTCAGAGGTGAAGGGGGGAACTCTGAATTGGGAGGGGGGGTGCTCATCTGGGAGGTGACATATGAGAACCAGCTATGAGAAATTCTGGGGAGAGCATTGGAGGAAGGGTAAACAGCAAGTGAAAAGGTCCTGAGGTGGGAAAGAGCTTGGCAGTCTCCAGACTAATGACTATGATCTCCAAAGATGAGCTGATTTACCACCCAGAATCCAAACCTCTAGACAAATAAGAGGTGGAAATGTTAGCCAAGAGACATTTGAGGGCAAGGTTCCTGGTCTGAGAGACAGACCAGGTAGGGAATCTGAGCCCCTCAGCGTTTGTCTTCCACCCTTGACAAGTCAGTCACTAGCGCCTCAGCGCAGTGTAGCTCTGTTCCACCAGTGTTCCTTCTAGTGAGCAAATATTTGATCACTAATTTATACTCGAGTCCTGGTGTGGCACTGTAGGTTAATGTGCTAGACTACAAGGCCATTTGAACTGCAATGACAGCAGTTCAAGCTTGCCAGCTGCTCCTCGGAAATCCTATACAGGGTCTCTTTAGGTTGGAACCCACTCGATGGCACTTAACAATAATTTATACTCAAATGTGAATGACCCTCCCAGAAGAATGAGGCACAGGGAGAAGAGCTGCTGGTCCTAAAACCATAGGAAGGAAATTGGTCCTTTAAAACCAGGGAAGAGGAGATTGGGGCAAATTAGGTCTCCCTTCCTACTGTTTGTCATGCATGATACCTGGTCCTTGAAGATGACACAACTCAGAACTAGCGGCAGGAAGACATCAGTCAGCTAAGAACAAAAATCTGAGTTGGCATAATGGAAGGATAGCAATTGTTTCAGGGTGTAGGAGCCAAGGCATGGAATTTCAGAAATGAAGAGTAAGAGAGAATTCAGAGATGTACAGGGAGGCTTGTTTCACATACAAACTCAATCTGTCAGCTCTGGACCTTCCTCCCTCCTTCTAGTACACCTCATGTTAAGGGGGAGGGAGCCTGTTTTGGTGGCTGCAGTCAGAATAGAACCCCTGCTGACTGAGCAGAGAACACACCCCAGGTCAGCCACCTGCTACCTCTATAACCTCAATGCCTCAGCATCCAAGCACTGTTATCAAAGATGTTTAAAATACCACCAATTATGTTTGGAGAGGGGCTTGGGTGAGAGCTTCTTGCTTCAGGCTGCTCTGTGTATACAAGCCTTGATTTGGGGGGCCTCTTTGGTATCCCACTGTAGAACCAATGAAAAACAGGAAGGAAGGAGCAGAGGGAAAGCTGGATGAAGATGAGGAAGGAGGAAAACCATCAGACTGGGCAGTTGGAAAGGTGAGGTGGAGAGGGAAGAGTCCAGGAGCTGACCTGTCAGCAGCTAACATTTGCCAACTTGACTGGGGAAAATGGTATTATGGTTATGGTATAATTTTAGTATGAAATGAGGAGGACAGAGAAGACACTGAACCCTTCAGCCTGCAGAATTGAGGCCTAGTGGGGTCCGTCACTTCTGCAATGTCATAAGCACTAGATACACTTACTTCTCACGGAGCTCTGGTAGCACAGTGGTTACAAATCAGGTTGCTAATCTCATGGTCAGCAGTTCGAAACTACCAGCTGTTCCACGGGAGAAAGATGAGGCTTTCTGCTCCCGTAAAGATTTATAGCCTCGGAAACCCTGTACAGGGTCACTATGAGTCGACGGCACCTAACAACACCACCACTTACTTCTCAGCATTTGACTATCTTCTCTCAGCAGCCCCTCCAGGCCCAAATACAGACCAGAGGGAAGTTTCAGTAAATGTTAGTTTTTGAGAAATCAACTTTCTAAGTTCTTCTGGAAATAGTAATAGGACACTTGACCTAGTCTCTCCTCAGTTTCAGATCATTGAGCAGTATTACATTATCTGTGGCTTTAAGAGACATTCTAGGACAACTGAAAAGCTATGAAAAGCCTAGTCTGGCTGCTCAGAATGACCTCAAGCATAGTGTTGAAGATGGGCTGGCCTGAGTGGACATGCCACACACCTTAGCAGCTCAGAGCCCTACCTGCCGCCCGTCCTATCATGCAAGAGGGTGTGTTCCCAGCTGAATGAAAGAATAAGAGGGAGAGATAGGAGAGTAAGAGAGACGGCGTGTCTGTAAGAAAAGTCAGTATATTTATGGTTTGCTTTATAAAAGTTACTATAATACAATGGTACATAGTATTGAATTCACAAAAATATGAACAAGTATTTACAGCAAGACATACCCACAACGGAAACACTTCTCTTCAAAACAAGTTACAGATGAGAGTCTATATGCACAAATGTCCCTAAAACGTATCGTTTCTCTTCTTTGCATGGGAAGGGGGAGGGGCAAGATTAAAAATTAAAAAAAAAAATTTAAAAGCAGAAACCCCAACTCTTCGAAAGCAGAGATTTGTTCGATGAAAACAAAAGCATTGGAAAAAGAAAGGAGGCACCACATTTCTGAATTATTGCAAGCCATTTGAGTGGGGAAGCCGAACTGGGGGAAGGCTGAGGAGGGGGCTCCTGGCGTAAATCCAGCCAAGGTTCTCCAAGAGCTTAAGGTTGGGCAACAGACCACCCCACCCCATTTCCTCATATCCTTCACTCCCCTTCTTTTTGGGGGGTAGGTGGTGGTGGTAGAGGTGATAGAACGAGACAGCCCCTTGGGGGCCGCACAAAATAACTTAAATCCGCCATCTCCGCAATCTACACATTTCCTCATGTGAAAAATAAATATTTCTTCGGTTGCACAATTAGGCAGAAAAAACTGCACATGGAAGAGAAGGTTGCCGCTGCGCCCAGGTACCCCCTCTGCGTCTTAATGACCACTGATTTCGTCTATTTTGAAATCGGGGACACAGTCTCTGACACAGAGGCCATGGGGGTGAAGAAATTAAAACAAAACAAAACAAAAAACAATCCACAAACGAGGAAATTAAAAAGAGAGAGAGAGAGAAATAACAATTCTTTGTACAGAATTTACATGTTAACAAGCTTGACACAAGCCGAGATACCGAGGCTCCTGCCGCCACATGCGCTTTACGCGGCTCCTGCGTGGGAGGACTCCTGGTCAAGAGAGTCTTTATTTACACGCCTGCGCTGCCTTTTGGGGTGCGGGGGACTCGTCTTTGTGTGTGTGTGTGTGTCTCATTTTTTGGAAGTACATACAAAGAAAGGAGCAAAAAAAGTTTCCCCACATGTTTCCACAAGAAACAACGTTCTCGAGAGAGTCCTCTGTGGCAGCCTGTATACAGAAGTTGGTTCTGAACTTCTAAAACTTAACTTTTTCCCTTCGTTTTGATTTTATACACGCACCAAAAAAAAAAAAGAAGAAGAAAAATCCATGGAAATAAACCCTGAAGAAGGTGGGGGTGGGAGGGTAAGAGAGGTTGATAAAAAGAAAAGAAAACGGAGATTTGTGTTTTAAAATCTTGTCTAGATTTTTCCTTTCTCTAAAAGAAATAAGCTGTACACCCCTAAAATAAATATCCGCTGGCCATCTTGGGGTGAGGGATTGATGGTGGGGTAAAGCGGGGTGCAGTAGAGGGTGAGTAGGTGAAGCTTATAAAATGGAAAAGAAATGCCCCACACGGTCAGACAAGCCGTAATGGTGGAGCTGGGGCCCCCTACCGCCTGCCCTGGGAGCCCCTCCATGAGCCTGGGTAAAGGCGGGGGTGGGGGGTGGGGGTAGAAGGGGGGGAGCACAGACCCAGTGGCTCTCACCCGCAGGGGGCCTCTGGGGGGCTCTGTCATTGCTGGCATTCGAATGAGAAAGTAAACATTGAACCCAAGGTTTGGGGACATGGCAGGGATTGGGGTAACAGGGGGAGCCTCGAAAGGCAATTCCTGCCTGGGACCAGTCCTGCCGCCCAGGGTCTGCTTGGAGAAGTGGCGCCCCCAGAGTGATGGGGAAGGACAGACCTTTGGAGGGGACCTGGGAAAGGTGTGGGGTCCCTTCCTCACTGATTCTGGGGCTGGGTGAGGCCTTCAGGCACGTAGTGTTCTGAGGTCAAAGCCACCTCCGACTCTTGTCCACTCTTCCTCTTCCCTCTTAGCACCTGACTCCGCCACCCCCGCCCGCCAGAGGTCCCTCTCTTTGATTCCCCCTTCACATTTCAACGGTTAAAGTCTTTTCTTAGGATGAAGAAGAAAATAAAGAGAAGACAATACAACGTAGCAGCATTCACAGGAAGGGGCTGAGGGTAAAGATGGGGAAGAGAAGAAGACAGGAGGCGAGAGAGATGGAGAGACAGGTGAGAAGAGGAAATGGGAGTCAAACTTACACCCTGCAAGGAGCATGTCTAAAAACAGGGGGACAGATGGAGAAGCCCTTTCCCACTGCCAGGGCAGGAAGTGTGGGGGTCCTGGGGTAGTGTTGTGGGGCGCCGGGCCCTGACATGGCCGCTGGGGGAGGGACAGCACCTGAAATGGGGTGGCGGTGGGCCTGGCCTAGGGGTTCTGCATGAGGCCCCAGGGGCGGCTAACATCCTTGATGTCTGGCACCGGCGGGGGCCTAGTTGAGGGTTCCCCGGCAGTTCTCGGAGCCACAGAGGCAAGGGATCTTGACGTCTTCGATGGGGAACTTGTAGTCGTAGGTGATTTCCTCGTTGACGCTGATGTGCTGCTTCGAATAGATGACGATCTTCTTCTGGGATTCCACTGTGATCACCTTGGCATAGCAGTTGGGCTGCAGGCAGGGAGGGGACAGTGAGCTGCCAGCTCCACGCAGACCCTCTGCCACCACGGCCCCCTCAAATCTATGCCCATGTTACTGCTCCAGGTCTCGGTTTCCCATCTGCCTGACCAGGATGTCAACAACGACAGCAGCGACAAGTTCCTTTCAGGCTTTCCGTTTCCACTGCAGAGGACACTCAGACTCTTATTTGCAGCCTAGACCTCCCTTCCTAGCTCAGGACTAGGGGTCAGCCAACTCCTGCCCCCAGCTGCCTGCTTCTGTAAATCAAGTTTTATTAGCACACAGCTGTGCCCCTTATTCGCATAGAATCCGAACCTGCTGTTGTTCAGGTGCACAGAACCAGAAATGTTTACTCCATTACTGAATAAGTTTGCTGTTCCCCACTCGACTCATAAATCGAATTGCCTGCTCCATACTCCCTCAGGCAGCTTCGAGGCTGTCCTGGCCTCACTACATCACACCTGCATACCGGAACTTCTCTGCCGGAATGCAGCACCACCCACGCAGGTCCCAAACCCCAGGGGTGAGCATGAGCTGCAGGTCACGCATGACCAAGCCCAGCGAGCACTCCAAAGGACCGCTCTGTTCTCTGCCTACTTGTCCCTATTTCTACTTACCCCGAGAAAATCCCACAGCCAGGGAAACCTCTTGGATACGACAGAAGACCCTGTTATACCACAGCTCAAACCCCACTGCTTTGGCTTTGAGAAGTACAACTTGTCTGCTCCTCACCTCAGCCTACAACATGGCTGAGCAAGCTGGCTGCCTCATCTACCGACCTCGTTCTCTTACCTGGCCCTAGAGCTCTCCACTCCAGCCACACTGCCCTCCTCCTCCTCGCTGCCCTAGGGTATCAGTCACTGCTTCCCCAGGGCACCCACCTGCTCATCCCTCAACACCATCATAGTCACAGAGCGTTGAGGGCCATTAGGGGCCGCCCTGGGGCAGGTAACAGTGGTCAGATCACAGCACAGGATCTAACCTGTGCTGAGAACTTGTCATCTGTCAGCACGTGTGAAGAGCCTGCACACCTGGCCCGTTCAGTGCTCCCCACAACCTGCACAGGTCTGCTGGTGTCTGAGGTTTTCCAGGTTAGGAAATATTCATTCCCTGAGATCCCTCTCTGAGTGGTGATACAGTTTTCCAAGTGAGGAAACATAAATAACTACCTGAAATCCCTTAGTAAGTGGCAATACCAAGCCTGACCTCACAGCCACTTGGTATTCACCTCAGCACTAGTCTGGCCCCTGCTCCTGGCTGGCTGTGTCCTTCAGTGCATGCAATGTCCCCATTCTCGATGCCCACCTCCCCTCTAGACTTGCCCTTTTTCCAATGGCTGCCACTAACCACGGGTGGCCACAGAAATGTCAGCGACTCGAGTGGCTGAAAGGAAAACTCAATTCTCCTGCAGCACCGGCCACAGTTCAAGTGCGCAGCACCTCAGGGGGCATTTCCATCCCCAAGAGAAATTTTGCTGGGAATCACTGCCCTGAAAGCTGGGCCTGACCTATGGAGTAACCTACATAGTGAATAAACCACTTTTTGAGTACCTTCATTAAGCCCTTAACTTGGCAACAAAAGTCTCACCATGCCCATTTGACAGACAGGAAAACTGAAGCTATGAGGACAGGCTGCTTGCATGAGGCCTCACTCTCCCGACCTCCCTTCCTATCACCCTCAATCCATCCTGCTGGCACTCAGGAGGGGGCACTCACGTTGCAGCTGTGGTTGATGAAGCGGGCAAAGTTGCCACACTTGGTGGCGTCGATAATGGTGTCATGGTCCACCCGGAACATGTAGCTGCTGCCAATGCCCTCATCCTCATAACGCTTCTCCCGCATGTCCGCGATCACCTGGCCAAGGAATGGGCATCAGGAATGACTGGGCCAGCCCTTTTCCCACCCTGGTCCGGTCATGCCTGCCAGCACCTACCTGGCGGATGTTCTGGCCCACATACTCGATGACCATCTCATCGGCAGCAATGGGCTCCATGGCAAACAGGCCCCAGTCATGGATGTGGCTCTTGCAGAATTTGAGCTTCTTCTTCCGGAACTAGAAGGAGAGAGAGAAGGGGTAAGCCCTGGCCCTGGGGGTCCCACTACTATCCCGGCCTCCCAGGGGTGCAGAGTTCCAGCCCTACCTTGAGCTGGTTGAACTTGAGCAGGTCGCTGTCACAGCTGCCGGTGAAGGAGGATAGAAGACGGCGCTGCTCCGAGCGCCGCTCCGAGCCTGCTCGAGTGGAGGCGTGAGGCTGTGCAGGGATGCTCATGCCCTGCCAGGACAGAAGGACAGATGTAAGGACACACAGATGAATGGACGGAGCTGTTTGGGAAGAAGTGGCTTCAGGGGCCAGGCCCCAACTCCATCCATCCTGGGCGCACGCCACCTGTTTGACCTCAACATATCCTGGGCAGCACCCACCCCAAGTCCCAGCCCATCACCCCGTTTCCAGTTCCCTTGCTCTGGGCCTGTCTGCTTCCACTCTGTCCTGTATCATCACCTCCCTCTAAGCCTCCAACATGCTCAGGAGGTTCCTCCCATCTTAAATGAACAACCAAGCCATCCCATGCCCTTTTTCTGGGAGCATGGGGCATTTATGTTCTGTCACATGGGGTTGTATGAGTCAGAAGCAACTCCATAGTACCCAACAACACCAAACAGGAATTTAACTCTCTGTTGAAAATTCCAGGGGTGGGTTAATGAGCTAAACTGCAAAGCTGGTTTGAACTGCACGGTCGACCAGTGGTTCAAGCTCACCAGCCCCTCCTTGGAAACCCTAGACAGGGTCACTTTGGGTCGGAACCGACTTGACGGCACTTAACAATAACAGCACCGTGAGTCCAAACTGGCTCGATGGTACTTCAACAACCACAACATACAGGGTTTCCTAATCCACAAAGCTTTACAGGAGAAGATCACCTCATCTTTTTCCGGAGGAGTGACTTGGTGGGTGTGAACTTCCGACCTTGTAGTTAGTATCCCATGCTTATCCTACAGTGCCACCAGGGCTCCTCTGGTACACAGTAGACACTCTAAGTAAACATTTGCTGAATTAAATAAGCAATGAATGAACAGAGTTTCCGATTCTATGGAGTCCAGACTTTCGGGGCCCATGGAGATTGGATAAACTGTTGAAGCTACTGCCTGGAGATCATCTTCACACCTTAAACTGAAAATAACCCTCGAGTTTTCTTATAACCAAGCAACAGTTTAGCTAGACTAGTGAAGAATGCCTGCCTTCAGCATTATGCCTTGAGCATTATGCTCTTTTAAGATCTTTCTTTACAGGATCAAATTGACACTAGTACTTAGAGGATGAAATGGCTTCATGTTAACGGGGAGGGACAACTCTGGAAAGAAGCGGGAGAAGGGCTGTACCACTCAGAAATCTCATCCATGTCACAGACTTGTACAGGTAACGCTGTGGGATTGCTGTATGTTTTGCATGTATATTCTCAACAACAAGTATGGAATGAAATGGGACAGGGAAGTAAGAATTGTCAGAAATGGAACAATCAGCATGGAAGGGAATCGAACTAAATGTCACCGAGTAACTTGTGTAGAAATTGCCAAATGGGCCTTTGTTGTTAAATGGTACCGAGTCAGCATAGTGACCCTGTACATGATTCTCAAGGAGAGACTGGTGGATTTGAACCACCAACCTTGCAGTTCAAATGAACCTTGTGGTCCTGTGCTTATCCTACAGCAATACAACAGGACTCTCAAATGGAACCTACTTGCAGTATCATCGTTCGCTGGAAACATGATACAATTTTTTTTTAAAGTAATGATTGAATCTTTGGGAAACGTACTCTGCGTGTGTCCCCAGTACAGCGTGTAGTTGCCTACAGCCCCTCTGTAGCTCTCCACAGGGCCAATTCTTCCCTTGACTCCTGAGGCCCTGTTTCCTTCCCCCTTACTCACCTGTCATCCCCCCAACCCACCACCGGGCCCCAGGAGACTCCAGTGTGCCTTGCACCACCCATCAGTACCTGGGTGTCAGCTGGGGGCTCATCGGTGCTGGCCCGGCTGCTGTTGAGGTATCTGAGCTTGTCCTTCTTGTCAATGGTGTAGAAGCCCTCGCTGCGGGCACAGCCCGTCACGTGCTCCGGGAGACCATCATCCCGCTTCTTCCTCTTGGCTGAAGAAAGGCTGGTGGGTGGGCATGCGTCAAGGGCTACACAGACACTCAAGGGTTCCTTCTGGGTCCTTAGTGAGACCTGGCCCATCAGGCCTGGCTCCCTATCATTATGCCCATCCTTGGGGGTGGGGAGTGAGGAGGCCAACTGTGCTGGCCAGCCCCTGACCCCCAAGATGCTACCTTCAGACCAAACCTACTAGTAGTCAGAGCCCCACCAAGGTTTCCTTGTTGTATGGCCATGGGTGTGTTTCTTAACCATTCTCTGCCTCAGTTTCGCCATCTGTAGAATGGGGGTATTAATGACGCCATCTGAATGAGCAGCTTTGCTTAGAAGTTTCATATGCTGCTAACATAAGTCCTACCCAGAGAAAGTGTCAGGGCAATGACAGCAACCCTAAGCCCTCAGCCTCAGGACAGCCCAGTCTCTGGAGGCAGACTTTCATGGGTTCCAATACCAGCTCCACCACTTGCTATGTTTGGCTTCTGGCAAGTCACTTAACTTCTCTGAGCCCTAGTTACCTCAATCTGAAGCGAACACTGAGAAAGTTACTACCACACTGGGATACTGTGATATTGTCTATGTGGGGTAAATTGGGTCTTGGGGGTGAGAAGAGCCCCCCAAAAGTGCTCAGTAGAGCGTTCTCACTGTCACCTTTACCACCACCACAGAGCTGCTGGAGCCTGGGAGACGGAGTCCAAGCATGTGGGACAAAGACACTACTGCTTCTGCTTGGCAAGATATTAAAAAAACCCACCCACCACTAATTCGGACTCACAGAGGCTCTAACAGTTTCTGAAGCTGCCTCCTCGTTCTCCTATGGAGGGGCTACTGGGTTTGAACTGCCAAGCTTGAGGTCAGCAGCCCAGCCCTGGGGCACCTGAGCAGGATATAAGGATGGTAGACCCAGAGCGTGTCGTTGAGCCAGTCCATGCCGTTGTCCTGCTGCAGCATCTGCTCATAGGTGACACACAGGAAGCGGATGTCCTCCTCATCAATGCCCCCGTTCCAAATGTCATACAGGATGGTCATCTCCTCGAACTCGGAGCGGGGCCGGAAGAGGGGCTGCGGTGGCGAGAGCTCAGGCGAGGTTGTACCTGCCACCAAGTCCTCATGGCGTTTCTTGAGCGGCCGGCGCCACAGCCCCCGGACCTTGGCGAGCTCCACGTCCTCCTCGGTAGCCTCGTCACGACCCCGGGAGCCTGGGGGGATGGCCTCTGAGGGCCACTGGTTCTCAAGCTCCTTAAAGGGTAGCTTGGTGGGTTCCACAGGCAGTGGGGCTGGGAGCAGTGGGGGCTGAGGGGGTAGGGGAGCAGGGGGCACTGGGATCCCCGCGTTCCGGAAGTCCAGGGTTACAGCCCGGGGGTCATGGGTGCTGGGAAAGACTGGGGTCTGTGTCTGGCCTGGCAGGAGCAGACGGTCCCTGGTTAGGGCAGTCCCTGGCGGCCGGACCAAGGGTCCATCCAAGGAGAGCACAGCTGGTGGGGACCGCCGGGGCCGGCCCGGCTTCCTCTTGGAGGACGAGCAAGGCGTCAAGGGGGCAGAAAGAAGGGGTGGCAGCTGGGCAGGTGGCCGTGTTGGGGTCCGCAGGACAGGCACAGGTAAAGTCAAAGGCAGGGGCAAGGGCAGGGGCAGAGGAAGGGTCAGGCCAGCCTCCAGGAGCACAGAGGAGGCCAGGGGCCCAGACCGCTCATCACGCTGGTTGGCTGGGAGGGGGCAGACGGGCAGAAGCAATGGCCCACTGGACTCGGGGAAGGTGGGCGTGAAGCTGAAGTCCCGGCCTGGAGTCCGAGGGAGGCCCCCACTGCTCAGGCTGGGGGATGGGGTTGGGTAAGAGAAGGGGCTGCCAGGCACCTGAGGGGAACTCAGAGACAGGTTGCTACTGCCCCCGGATAGTGGGGGCTCCCTGCCCGGAGTAGCAGGCACCGTCTCTGTGCTCTGCGACTTGGCCAGACTACCACAAAGGCCTGGTGTTCGTGGGGGCTGCTCCTCAGTGGGAGGTTCCACAGGAGCAGGTGGCAGTGGGGGTTCTGGGAGCTCGGGCTCCGGAGGTGGGCTGGGTGGGCGGGGTGGCCGGGAGGGTGGCAATGGTGGCTGAGGGGGCAAAGACAGCATTGTCGGGGGCTTGGACTCTGCTTCCAGGTCGTTCTCTGTAGAGAATGGGGAGAAAGTCAGACAGTCAGTGGAGTGATTCAAACATTTCTCAGGGCCCGACCACTGCTGCCTTACTATGTGCTGACCCCCGACCCACTGATGCCCTTACAAGTCCTGCAGATTCTTTAAATGCTGGGGACATCTATCCCGAGTGAAACAAATCGAAGACTGCTTAGCATCCAGCCCCAGGGCAGGCACACAGTAGGTGCTTTGTAAACATTAGTAGACTTATGAAAGACCAAGGAGGTATGATTGCTAACCTCTGAATATACGCTCCTCAGAATAGCGTTCCTGGGAATGTGGATCGGGAAGAGGTGTTCTGAGAAGAGTGGATTCTGTGGGCAAACAAAACCCAAGATGTTTCTTTTCTGTAGGACTTGTCAGAGCCTTTGAGGCTTTTCTTCTAGCTCCCTGCCCTGGAACATTAATGTCACAGTGGTGAATCAGTTAGTTCTGACTCATAATGACCCTGTACAGGGTTTCTGAGGCTGTAAATCTTTAGGAGAGCAGAAAGCCTCATCTTTCTCCGGCGGAACCGATAGAAGTTTTGAAATGCTTACTATAAGATTAGCAGCCTAACTCGTAACCACTACATCATGGAGCAGATATTTTTCTGTTTGGACCACTACTGTGCCAAAATCTACAGTGTCAAAATCAGTCCTGGGGACACAAAGGTATTGCTCCAACTCATAGCGACCCTGCGTACGACAGAATGAAATGCTGTCAGGCTCAGTGGCATCTTCATGATCAATCAGCACGCAATAAATTCCTGAGTCGACATTCAAAAGACCTGTAGTTGCCTGGCCAAACAACAAAAAATTCTACCAGATATCCCAGGTTTCTATCTGAAGAAATGATCTATTTAAGTTTAAATCAATTGCAATCAAGTAATAGTAGGAACTGAAATCCTCGGGCACACGAGGTCTAGTCTGGTCAGGGCAGACGTGCAGCATTCCTGCCATTGCAGACAGTTCTACGGGGCTCTGCTGCGGGAGACTCCACTCTGTTTTGTGATGCTCCACCATGACGGCGCTGGGAGGCATGTCTGTCACTAAAATGACCATCCCACTCACTCACTTTGTTGGTAGCAACTCATGCAGCCAGTGGCCCAAGGATCAACCCTAGGGTACTAGTGGCATTGAGGAATGGTAAAATCACTATTCTGCTTTAGTGGTTAATGGAGTGTGTTCCAGGCATTTAACACATTAAGCATCATTTCACTCAATCCCCTGCCCAAACAGCCCCATTTTACAGATGAGGAGACCGAGGCCTGGGATGGTTAAGTGATTTACCCAAGCAAGCTGAAGCTCATTCACCCTGCTGCCCTCCCAGGGAGCCTCAGGGGTTACCTGGGGTGTGCTCGGGGGGTGGCAGGAGGCGACCCTCCATCTCAGTGGCAGGCTCTGGAGACAGTGACATAGCCCCTTCCTGGCCCAGGTCTGGCTCCTCGGGGGGTTCCTTGCAGCCTGACAGGTCCTCAACACCCACAGGCAAGGGGAGCTCCTCCAGCATCTGAGCTGGTTCCTTGGAAGCTTCGTCCTCCACTTCAATGTCCACCTCCTCTTCTGGGCCCAAGGTCTCCACCACAGGCATTCCTGTGACCACTGAAGACTCTTCCACACCCTCTTCCACGGCCTTGGGGGCAAGAGGAGCCATGCTCTCCTCTTCCTCCTCCTCGTCTTCCTCCTCTGCTGCCACCTCCTCTTCATCTTCCGAGGATGAGGATGAGGATGAGGACTCAGAGCTTGATTCAAAGCCAGAGGACTCAGAACTCTCGCTGGATGACTCTGTATCTGCCTTGGAGGTGGCGATGCTCACTGTTTCCTCTGGGCAGGGGACAGACGAGGGGTCATTTTGTCATGCGTTGTTCCCCGCCCCAGATGTTTCCCCCAAGTCTCCAATATGTGTGTGAGTGTACACTGTGTGTGTGCACATGCATGCTCATGAGTATGGGTGCACCGGTGTACATGTGTGCTGTGTGTGTATACAAGTGCTGTGTACACTGTGTATGTACATGTTTACTGAGTGTGCACATGTGTACTGTGTGTGTACATGAGTAGTGTATGTGCATGTATACTGTGTGTACATGCTATGTACTGTGTGTGTACATGTGTACTGTGTGTATAAGTGCACTGCATGTGTGTGCTGTGTAGTGTGTGTGTGCTGTGTAGTGTGTGTGTGTGCGCTGTGTACTGTGTGCACTATGTGCACATGCACCTGTGTGTGTGCAGGTACATACACATGTGTGTGCATGCCTGCCTGCTGCCCAGCTCACCTCCATCTGAGTCCAGCTCCTCCTTCTCGCTGGTTTGAGACCTGGCCGTGTCATCGTCTTCATTTTCAGAGTCTTCCGGGTCAGCACTGTCTTCATCGTCATCATCGTCATCCTGGGGGAGAGAAATGGTCAGGGATGGGTGAGCCCCCTCACTTCAGGTGCCCAAGGTCTCCCGCCACCATGCATACCTTCTCGGACGTGGACGAGGATGAAGAGGAGGAGATCCGGTTCCTGGGGCCTTCCTCCTCTTCCATCTCTTCCTCCTCCTCCTCCTCAGTGCTCTCCTGCTCCTCCTTGTCCGAGGCCGAGGAGGAGGGCGAGGTTGTGGAGGAACCGGAGGACGAAGACGCCGATGAGGACGAGGCCACAGACAGTGACTCCTTCTCATCCTCCTCTCCCCCACTGTCCAGCTCCAAGGGTCGTGCGGGACGCCGACGCACACCCATACTCTTGGGGTCCCGCTTGGCAAGCTCGCAGGGGGTATCTGTCATGTCCCGGTCCCGCTCCAACTCTGGGGGACAGAAGAGGTGTCAGAGCTGAGCTGGTGGAAGGGGGTGCAGAATCAGTATTCAGCGAGGGAACAGGGGACAAACCTTCATCCTCCTCATCTACAGAGGTGGATGGCCGAAGTCGCTTCTGGTCACTGGCTGAGGCTGTGTCTGGTGGCTCCTTCCTCTTGACCTTGAAGGAGGGCAGGCGAATGGCCCCCCGCAGCCCAATGCCCAGGCCCAGGCCCTCATAGCCCAGGCCCTCCCCCTTGCCCCATGATTCCAGCAGACACGAGGCGATGCGGTCCTTGGGCTTTGGCCGGTCCTCATCCTTGTTGTCACCTGACTTCACAGGGGTCAGCGAGGCCTGGGGTGTGGCAGAGGAAGGGACGGTCATTGCAGTTACTGCTGGTGCCACCCACTTGCCTCTCAATAGCCACCACTGGTTCCCTGCACACGGCTCAAGGGGGCTCCTCATGCTGAATGTTGCCTCCCTACCCTTGATTTTCCCACCTGCAAAATGGGGATCCTACAGCTGCCTGCCACACTTTGTAGGCTGGGACCCAAAAGAAATACAGTATAAACACACAACTCTATCACTGAGACCAAGAGTTCCACAAAATGTCATTTACAAGTTACTACTGGTCGCTGAAAGCAGCTCTGGTAGCATAGTGGTTACGAGTCACGCTGCGATTCCATGGGAGAAAGATGAGGCTTTCTGCTCCCCTAAAGACTTACAGCCTTGGAAACCCTGTTCAACATTGCCATGAGTCGGAACCAACTCCACGGGCACATGCCCACCACCACTGATTTGCTGGCATCCTGATGTGGTACTGTAGCATGAGAACTGGGCTGCTAACCCCGAAGCTGGCGGCTCAAACCCACCACCGGCTCCTGGGAAATCTGATACAGTGTCACTGTAAGACGGAACCAACTCCATGGCACTGAACAACAATATTTGGTTTGCTGGAGTCCCTGGATGTTGTAAATGGTAAACACACTTGCTGCTAACCCAAAGGCTGGAGGTTCAAGTCTACCCTGAGCTACCTTGGGATTGAGGCCTGGTGATCAGGTCTGAGAACACTGTGGAGCTCATTTCTACCCTGACACACCTTGGGTCTTTCTTCATGGGTGGGTAATGACAAGCTGGCAACTGGTTGGTTACATTTTCCAAACACGTTAAAATATACAATCAAACGAAACACCTACTAGATTTATTTCACTGCACACGCGGGGTGGCCCCAAAGCTCCAAGACACGCAGTCTTTTGGGATATTGTGAGAATTCACTAAAATAATCCACCCTCGACACCTTGCAAAGAGTCCTGGTGGCCCAGTGGGTTAAGCACTGGGCTGTTAACTGCATTGTCTGGTTCAAACCTACCAGCTACTCTGAGGAAGAAAGACGAGGCTGTCTGCTCCCATCAAAATTAAGTCTTGTCAACTCTATGGGACAGTTCTCCTCTGTCCTACAGGGTCACTGTGAGTTGGAAACAGCTCGATGGCAGTGATTCTGGTTTTGGGGTTTAGGTCCTTTGCCGGGGGCTCAGCTCTTTTTCTACATTATTAACACACTACCTATGAGATTCACTTGATATGATGACTAACTTGGTGAGGTCAGTACAATGAGGTAGAACCACACACAGCTAAGTGAATCTCAGCACTTTGACAGGGTTTCTTCTCATACCACTAACTGAGGCAGTGACAGGGTGTCACGCACTCTGATGTCAAGAGTGGGCTTTCATCACCCTTACGAGCACTCCCCAAAGCAAGTTCTGGGGCTATACAAATCCATCACTATGGCTGCTCTGAGGGAGAAAGGGGGCCAAGGAGGTTGGACTTGGTGACTGAGGGAACATTACAGGAAAGATGTTCTTTCATAAGGAGAAAAAAGCAAAGCACCTTGACAGCAATGGTTAAAGCGCTCGGGGGATCCTCCAGTAAAGACTGCAGCCTAGGAAACCCCGTAGGGGCTGTTCTACTCAGTTACACGGAACTAACTTGGAATCAACTTGACAGCATTTAACAACAACAATACAGAGAAAAATGGTTCTATATTAATTGTGAGATTAACAATAATAACCAAGTAACAAGTATACTTTTCTAACATTGGTCCTGCAAAGACAGGACTCCACTTAAATAAAGGCACGAGAGACACTGAGTTGAACCAAGCTGTGGCGTTAAAAGAACCTCTAGAACTTTCTGTGATGATGGAAACGTCCCCTATCTGTTCTGTCCAATATGGTAGCCACTGGCCATGTATGGCTATGATGCACTTGAAATGTGGCTGGTGCCACTGAGGCACTAAATTTTTCCATTTCATTTCATCTTAATAAATGAATGTTACCAATTAATAGAAATTTAAGACGCCACATATGGCTCAGGGAATACTGATAGTGCAGTCCACACAGCACCTTTCATGCTGGGGGGTAGACAGGGCAGTCAAGGGGGAGGCGCTTGGCTGGCTTCCCACCCCACACCCACACGCCTTGGGGGCACCCACCTTGGCCATGCGTTCCTTCTTGTCCCACCACTCATCGAAGGCCCGGAAGGCCACTACCTCCACCATCTTGCGGTTGAGGTCACGCTTCATGGTGGCCTTGAGCTCCTTGAGTACCACCAGAAGGACACCGTCCACCGTGGCCTTGTGTGGGTCCTCCTGCCGAGGTACGTAGCCTGGAGGTGGCACCGATGGGTCGAACTTGGGCAGCGGGGGCCAAGGCTGCCCTCGGCCTGGGCCAGCATTGCCCAGGGAAAAGGGGCCCCGGTAGGGGGGCAGGTTGACAAACTGCAGCCCGGCTGTGGCGGCAGCAGCAGCAGCTGCCATGAAGGGCGGGTAAGGGCAGGTGCCTTGGCCTGTCATCAGACGGCTCAGCATCTGCGTCTGCATCTGGAAGGACATGGGCATGCCGCCCCACTGGCCACCCAGCACGTGGCTCATATCCACCTGCATCACAGGAAACAGGCCCGGTGGGAAGGGGGGCAGTGGTGGCATGATGGGTGGGGGCGGCACGCCAGGGGGCGGTGGTGCCGGCAGTGGTGGTGGGGGCACAGTCACTGCTGGATGGGCTGGGGGCGGTGGGGGAGGCGGTGGTGGAAGAGGTGGAGGCATGGGGAAGCCGGGCTGTGGTGGGGGTGGCGGTGGGGGCGTGTGTGCATGCCTGCCTGCTGCCCAGCTCACCTCCATCTGAGTCCAGCTCCTCCTTCTCGCTGGTTTGAGACCTGGCCGTGTCATCGTCTTCATTTTCAGAGTCTTCCGGGTCAGCACTGTCTTCATCGTCATCATCGTCATCCTGGGGGA